AAAAGGTCATCGAACAAAATGGAAAATACATTATAGATTAAACTTCATTCCAAATAAAAGAAATCTATTAAGTCATATCACAAATCCGCAATTACTTAGTTGTCAACCGAATACTTTTTTGTTTGTAAAAAATTCAGCCGATCGTATAATAATTCAACTTCAAACTATAATTCATAATCATCATTTATTGGCTACGCTTACGTCGATACGGTGATGATAGACAAGTTTAAATAATAAGAGGTAAAATCTCAACTAGATACGTATCGTGTTAATCATGCACCTGTTTTGGTTATGTTCGATATACATAATGAGCTGATTAATTTGGGGATGTGGGTGTCGGTCGGACCTTAACAATATGGCCTTAAAAGTACGGGCAGTCGGGTTTGTTTTTTATCCAAAAGCCGAACAACAAGCGATAGGCCAATCGAGCGGTGACGCTATGTTTCGCGCCGACGCCTTATAAGTAAATGCCCCTAGTCGCCCCCGCGTTCAGGCGCCTAATGACGGAACCTTCGGGCTGACATTTTTTCCGCCGACCGTAAATTTATGCAAATACGAAGAAAAAAAAAACTTTTGACTATCGTTTACTATCTTGGGTCTAGACAAATTATTTTTGTGTAGACTATTAATATGTTAATAATATTCCCGTAATTAGTATATTAAGCGGTCGGGAATATAATACAAGTAGATTTTTTAATGTCTTTTTCTTTATAAATAGCGGCCTTTCACTTTGAACTCAAGTAATCTATACAGATTTCGCATAATCATTTACTTCGAAGTTTTTTTTATTATGAATGATATATTGTTAAGAATTCCCGCGTTCCTGCATCCCCGTTTATGTACCCCATGCAAATACAAAGAAAAGAAAATTTGTATAGACAACGGGCAGGTGACTTATGCTTTAAGCATTTGATTCATAGTTTCGATATCAGAATTTTTTTTCTAGAGCCAATTTACTGAATCTTTAATAATGCATCAGCCACCTGTAGTATCACCATAAATTATTTTTTCTTTAGTAAAACTGAAGCGAAAAGTTATTTCTATCGTCGAACGGCACGCTGAGGAAACGGAAGAAATAATTAGCCAGCGAGATATTACGATCGACAGAAAGTATCTGACAATGTTCGGAAAATAAACAAGAGAACGCCGAAGCTCACCGGATTGGACGGACTGTCGCAAACGAATAACGAGGCGTAATTAAATACAAAATCCGATGAAAATATAAAATATCGGTGGGATATTTCTATATATATATTTCTATAAAGCGTTACACGAGCCTTCAATTTTTATCGGTCATTATTATCTAAATAGGAAGTTACGATAGTTCACGTCATGGACTTATTCCATGGACGTGTCCTATTGCGTCACAGTGCCCCCGCCACAATGACTCTGACATATGTCATGTTTGTTCACATTACGCGTCCGTTTTAATTTCAGATCATGACCGTTGATAATTTTTGCAGTATTCTCACGATGCCCCGTATATTCTTAAACAATTTTTTTTTGGATGAACTCAAAATCGCAGCTGTGTGTGAAAAATTGTGTTGGCAGGAACGGAAAATGATGGTTTGCCGATAATATTGTAGGGCATTATCCTCGAACATTTTCATGCCTTCAGTACAAGTACGCACTAAATCATTGCTGTATACGTCACAGTATAAATGGATCTGCATATGGACACTAATATATACAGACTGGTATGAAATTTTAACCTCATCAAATTAATAATATAAAAGTGGTGTATTTTTAAGATATACGAACCATAAAAAGGCAAAGGGATATGAATGGCTTATTAGCATAATATTGTTCTGCTCTATTCGCTAATTATTTATTAGGTTTTTCCTCATTAATGAACGACTCTCAAACTGTAAACGAAAATTTTGTGAAAACTTTTAATTTATACACACAGATTTGTGTACAGTAGTTAGAGATTATCTCTAACTCTATTAACTAAATATTACCTTGTTTGTTTAAATCAGCTGTAATTTTTAAAGAATAAGAACGTAAATAAATGCTAGTAATGGGTGTACTTAATTTATACATTGCGTAAATTTGATGAAAATAATAAATAAAATATTTCTGGACATATTTTTACACAGCCTAGAAAAGGCCCAAACTAAGCAACACTTGTCCTAGATAACTGATAAATATACTTAAACATACTTTTCTGTTGTAAATAAATACATATTATAAATATATAAACACCCAGACACTGGAATATATATATTCCAATCTATATCTACGTTAGTCGCTTTAAAATATTTCAACCTTTGGACACTCAATAATTAAAACAATTAAAAGTGTTATTAATGTCGCTCATTTCAACCAAGTCCTAGTCCAACAGCATTTAATTTATTCATACAGTTCACAGAACCTAAACACTAAGAAATGAAACCGATCTCACTTACCAGACGAATTGCGAAAGTATGACAATTAGTTGTTTTGTTCCGGTAAATACATATCGCAAGGAGAAGTTTAGAAGTATTTTAATAGAAAAAAACCTATACTGCCATACTATGAAAATACTAAATAAGAGTTGTTAGTTCGTCATTTAATTTCTTAAGAATTGAATATAATGCCGTTTTTACTTCTAAACGGTTATCTTTGAATAGACGCCAGACTTTTAATGAATGAGCAACAGTGGGTAGAAATTCGCCGAAGTAGGCGTAGATTGTATAAATTTTACAGTGAAAGGTCATACAACCATTCTGCATTTAAGGATTATGTGAAAAGTTATTCCAAAATGTTTATAAAAATGTTTATTTTGCCACCAAGTTATCACATTAAAGCAATGAAATGAAAGATGCTTCTAATAATGTAAATATGAATTAGAATATTATTAAATTTAATATATTTTTATATTTATATATTTTTACTTTGAGTACCGACTTAATATTAACAACAAAGTTTTAACGACTAATCAGGAGGTATCTGAAGTGTTTGAAAAATTTTTGTGAGATTTTAACTACATTGTCGAGACATTACTTAAAGAAAATGTAAATGCTTGCACCACAATCTTTAAATTTCAGACTATCGATTCAAAAGATATCGTGAAAATATTTAACATTATTGAATTTTAGAAAACGGCAGCTACAGGTGTCCGTTGAAACGATTGCTTTAATAATAAATTATACACATATGTGTATAATATTTAAAAATTACGTAGATACTAGCGTGGTTTGATGAAACACAGTAAAGTCATACCTTTTTTAAATCGGCTAGTACTTCGGACCCCACTAACTTTAGACCTATTTCTATATTACTAACGCTTAATTTTTTTTTCTTTAGAACCTTCTCTTGTCAGCTGTTAAGACATTTTTCTTCAAACAATTTATTACACCACAATCAGTTTGGTTTTACAAACGGTTGCTCTACGCCGCGGCGTATACCGAACACCGGCGTGGGCTACGCCGGTGTTCGGTGCATACCCGGTGGTCTTAGTGCATACCCGGACCGACCTACCCATTTGTGCAACAGAGAAGACTTACGTGGCATTGTAGATTTATTTTTAATTATGTGAAATTCACACTGAAACCGCGAGGCGATCCTCTGTGCTTGAAAGCCCATTGCCCAGCAGCGGGTCATAAATATTTTATTTTATACCATTTTCATTTTATTTTACACCATTATTCATTTTTACAAACAAAGTGCCGTTCAAATTTTATTGAAAAATATAATGATACCGAAATGTTCAGTCATACAAAATTCTACCATTATTTTCTAACGCCGTACTGACATTGAACTGTGGCCTTAACTAACAACGCCATGTGTTTCGTATATTGACTCTAATTCAAGTGCGTAATATTGTGCAAAGTTTACCTTTATCTGCCGTAATTCGGATGCGTTGGCGTCGGAAATGCGTAGGCCACGATCGATGCGGCATTTTCAAATTCCCTCCCACGTGTGTTAGATTTGCTTTTCCTAAATTCACAAAAGTACGTTGTACTAAGCTTTGCTCGTTGCTTACAGAAAAATTTGCTTTCATAATATCAACTTATATTCTCAACGTTATTGAAAGATGAATTATTTAAGAGCTGCTGTTTTGGCACCTGTCAGTCATCTAAGTATTTCGCAATATTTTGCCCGTTTGAAGGTATAAATTAATTTATTACTTTTGACAAAATTCTTCTTCTTCTTCTTCTTTTTAATAATGGATTTTTTTTGTGAGTTGTCACAATTCCGCCAATGTCAAGTTGTTATCCATTACACGTAGGGGAATGACAGTCGTAAATCATAAAAGTTAACGGAGGTTACTACTATAAGCATGTTTTACCTGAAAAAAAGGACGTCACATTCAGGACAACACAAACATGGAACGGATAAAGCTGTGGAGATATAAAGTTATGGTTTTAATTTGTTGTAGGATATAAATTTAGACTTTGACAAAACAACGTAGAAACTTAGTACTATCAAATTTTGACATGTGTGATTGTTGGTAACGTATCAGTTCAGTGTTTTTCAAGTAAAATGTAAAAAAAACCACAATCAAGATGTCTTTCAAGTAAGCGTTTTCTTGCGTGCCCTTTGGCATTTACTTTCGGAGTCGGGATCAACAGGTTGTATCCATGGCAACTCGCAAACAGTTCGCGACCTTTCCTTATTTTGGCAAGTTCACGACCTTTCGGGTATTGTGGAGGTAGTATATTTATATAAGATTACCGCATAAATATAACAGGAGGAAAGGAGGAAAATATTTCCAGAAATTTATATTAAGAAGTAAGTAAGGTAGTGGTGACAATAAGCTGTCTGTAAGTCTGTTAAATAAAATTTATCGTTATAACGCCATACTTCATTACAAATGTATTAAGACAAATCAAAAGAGCAATACATGCGGATAGGAATTCGACAAATGCCGACGCAGAATTAGCAGCACACTATCCGCAAAGTTCTCGCAGCTCATTACGTGCGGATCTGTGACCAGGTGTTTATTTTTGGTGGGAGCGGATGATTTATCCGACGTACGTAACTCTGCAACAATCCCGTGCGGGCTGGCGACGTCACGGGAGCGCGTGCCGCGCGTCTAATTGCGGCATCGCCAAAACGGTGCCCCGGTGCGGTGCGAAAGCGGCGCGTGATTCAGCGCGGAGAAAGTGGCCGGCAGGCTGGCGGGTCGCGCCGAGCCTCCGCGCCCACGCCGCCGTGCACGCCGCCCGCCGCACTACGCTCGTGCGGGCCGCGCTTTTCGCGCGCCTCCTGCCGCCGCCGCGACGCCGCGCCATTTCCTCGCGCACGTGGGCGACGCCGGCCGAACGAGGGCGCCCGGCCCGCACGCCATTAACGCGCCCGCCGTGAATGAACGCCGACCTCGAGCGGGTGGCTGGCGTCCATTGATAGGGCGCGCGCCGAGGACCGCGCGCTCGCCGCACGGGGGCGGCGTGCCACACGCCCTCGGCGTTCCGCGCGCGCCTCAGTCGAGCATGTGGCGCCCGACGCGCGACCAGCACCGCGCGCTAACCCTGTGTTCATTTACCAGTAGACACTCTAGATTAGCGTCGTAGTTTTTAAGTGCGCGCCGTCTAGGTCAGTGCTGTGATCGTGTCAATTCCGTAGGTGTCGTGCTAGGTGGTTAAGGTGTATCGGAGTCCGGCGCACGAGTCGGTGCGCGTGTGTGCGGGCGGCTGGGCCGCTCATGGTGGTGTGGATCGCGAGGTGCGGGGATGCGATCGTGCGATGCTCTCGGTGATCGCGATGCGCCGGCCGGAGGACGAGGAGCTCGGCCGCGGGGACGGCGACGAGTTCGTGGACATCTCGCAGATGCAGCTTCTTGTGGAGGCGGGGCCCAGCGGGCTGCAGTACGGCGGGCCGCAGCCGCCGGCCGCGCAGCCGGCGCCCTACGCCCAGCCCCCGCCCCCCGCCGCCACGGCCTCCGTCGACGACTTCTTCGCCCTCTACTTTGCGCCGGCGACACACGGTGAGATCAACGAGCGATTTAAACCCGAAGCACGCGCTTGTTATCAGCCACAATCACACCACTACCGCGTAAATGAACGTCGCGTCTTTTGGACTTTTTGGACACATTCGTACACAATTACTTTTAATTAATACTGCGACATAGTAATTGTTATATACAATTTGCATGTTAGTTTTATTTTTCTTTAGCTAAAAAGATCAAGCAAATTGAAATAGTAAAGTTTTATAATGTTAATTAATATAAAAAAGAGTCAACTCCACTTTACTCTAACTCGTGAACGAAACCTAGAAAACCTACCCTGAAACAGTCTTACGATATTACATGATTTTAGGTATGATAAAACTGATTACCATTACTCATTAATGATTTATATGGGTTAAAGAGTCAAACGTCACAATTAAGAAGTTGATCTAACTTAAAATATACTTTTTATCTACATATTATTAAATCATAATGTCGTGTTCAAGAGGCTTTTAGAGTTTTTCTCAAGCCCAAGGTTTAAGAGCCAACATTTTAGAATGCCGGTTAAAGATTGTTTAACGCTATTTACCGCCGGCCGCACCAAGCTCCTTGTAGCTGATTAATTGATAATATTCCGGGTACAAGTTCCAACAAACACGCGCTAAGGTTGCAAGATCAAAGACATTGATTGCGTATTCCGCCATTAACAATCTGGTATCGCCAGCCGCAAGCGAAACGCAACAGGGCAACGAAGCCACTAGTAACTTAGGCGACACCGCGCAAACTATTTGTTCTGTATCACATTGAGACGCATCTTTTCGCATTCCTAAACTCGTATACATTTACGACGAGGCACGCTTTGTCCTCTAGATCCTTCAAACATCTCTCAGTTTAGCAATAAATAATCTATTAAGGTCCGTTTAAATAAATAGTTTGCCACAAACATCAAAGTATCATACGTTTCAATGAGATTGATGACGGTAAAGAGTTGTGCAGATTTTGAGTTTAACGTTGTTACAATATTGTCACAGGTTTACAAGGATTTACATAGGCAAAAGCAAAAATTACAAGTATCTATCACTATTCCGTAAGAAAATACTACACTGAATATAAGTAAGTTCTCGATGCCTTGAATCGCATAACTATTAATTTCTCGTAGCCTATGATAATCCATACTTCGATACTAATATTATAAATGCGAAAGTAACTCTGTCTGTCTGTCTCGCTTTCACGTCAAAGCTACTCGCTAAACCGATTTAAATGAATTTTGGTACACAGATAGTCTAGAGGCTGAGAAAGGACATAGGCTATTTTATAATTGTTTAAAATATATGTATATTTTAAAGAAAGATATTGATTTGAGGGCTTCAACACGAGCGAACCCGCTGGCGAAAAGTTAGTACTTAATAAAGCAGGATTCGATAACATATAGACAACGGCATTTGTCTAAATCCGTTTAGATTAAAATCTTAAGATCATGCCTCAGTGTATCAACACAGTGGTAACAAGTACTTACATATACTGTAAAAATTACTTATAAATAATTTAATAAGAAATCTTATGTCAAAAAAAAATAATTTCGTTCGCAGACAACATCACTTCCCTCATCAGTGATAATAAAAGAGGTTAGAATAAACAGTGTTTTATCATTAAGAACCGGTAACTCGACGACCGCGAAGATGACGCATAATCCGAGGTCTCCGATTCGAAACCCAGTTAAGTTCACTAATGGATTTCCGTCAAAAGAATGCCAGTCATGAAGAATTCATGGCACAAATTTAGCTTTTTTTCACGTAAAATATAAACTCTGTCAAAAGTATTGATCTATATTTATTACTATATTTTATATTTTCTCAAATTCTCTTATAATAGATCAAAGCCGGTAAAACCGGTATATCTACTACTTCATGTCTTGTAAGCTATGGAAATCGCCTCAACTCTATTATGTATTTACACGTTATAAGAAAGGAGTCTAAAACATTATTTAATTTTTATCTACATATCACAAGGTTACTGAACTGATATTTTTTTGGTTTTCTCTAAACGAGGTACGTTCAGTGGCGTACGACACATCTGTTGAAACGATATTTAAAACACAAATGAACAGTAATGTCGCCAGAAACATTTATGCGGTCAAGGTTACCTGTTGACTCTTGTTCTCGAATTACAGTTGATACCATTATAGTAATACATACTTCAGTGTATGAACTATTCATCCAGACATCTTTGTTCAGAATAAAAAAGTAAAGACTAAAGTAACGACAAGTAAGTAAGTAATATATCTGTTACTTTACTGTTTATAGCCTATTTATGCCCTAATGATGAGCAAAGGCCTTTCTCTACAAAGAGAGGGACATTGTCTACCACCATATATGTTAAAAACAGTAATATTTTCTAATTTAAATTTGTGCTTTAAACTGACACTGGATTATTCATTCGGTTCCATCGACCTTGACTCTTTCGAGTAAACTTGGTAATTGATATGAATAGTTGGCTACTGTTTTGTTCTACGTCCATCGACAACAAATACCTTAGTCTCTTCAAATTGCAATGAAGTGAATCTATTGCAATAATTTACTGAAAGAAATTGATCTATTGCAAAAATTTACTACATTGGAAGAAAAACAAAATGCGTTGTAAATTATAAATGGTAAATTAAAACACTTTAAAATTACTGTTACTAGATCTTTTAAACGTTTATTGTCTTATCATCAATTAATAAATATCAAGCTTGTTAAGCTGTTGATCAAATTATAACTCAATCAAAATAAATGGCAGCATGACAGAAGGATTTTTACTTTTGTATTTATTAATATGAATAACGCGACATTAAAAATATATTTTAATGAAGAATGTCAAGCGCGGTTGTCGAATAAACTCCTCTCGCGCATGTGACACGATCGAAAATAATAAAAAACAATGAAACATCGACAGGCGCTTGCATTGCGCGGCGGCGCGGGCTTTCGGGCTGCCGTTAATGCGACAATATACCAATTTACGACGACTTTAATTCAATATCTCCAATTAAGGTTACTCATAATCGGCGTGCAGCAATTAGATACGGACGGCGGCCGGTCAATCTGGCCTCACACGAAAAAATCCGTCGCGTCCCCTGACATTCCATTAGGCACGCACTGAGATAGAGCCGTGGCGCAGTCAGCTCCACTCGTAAAATTCGGATCAGCATTCGCTATACTGCTATCTGGACCGGACGCGGCTAATCGGCCGAGTACGCAACAAACGCTATCATGTCCACCCGACCAACCATAAACATCGCTCTGTTTCGTTATAACACTGATTGCCTTAAATGAGCACCGTACACCTTGCAATTTGCGTGTATAACGTTAATTCGCTCCTGAAACCCGGTCCGTAATCTTTATCCACCACCTGTATCTGCGCACTGAAGCAAGAGCATTCATTTATCGTCAGTGTATTTGTTTACCGTTTCTTCTTTCAAGCGAACACATACATACCATACACACACATTCACGCTCAAATCCATTTTACAATTATTACCATTTTGACACAGAATACAAGCACGGCGTAGGAAAATTCGTTACGCGTTTAATATAATTTTATCCTTTATGTATACCATTACCGTTTATTACTTTTAGTTGAATGTTTTTGTTGTACTTAGTTCTATAATTAGAGGATTTTAATGTAACTGTATAAAATTTCTTTAAAACTTGTTACGTCGGACCGTGAGCCGTGATAGCTCAGTGTCTCTCCTGAGTTAGATCTCCGGTGACGGCACCAATGACATTGTTAATTTTAAGTGCTGATATATCACTGATGCTCAGCGATGAAGGAAAACATCGTGAGGAAACCAGCATATTTTCAAAATTATAATATATAAAAATATTTCGAAGACATGTGAAGTCCACCAATCCGCAGTGGGGCCGCGTGGTGGACTATGCCCTATACGGAGGAGGCCTTTGCCCAGCTGTGGGACATGTATAGGCTGTTACATTACTTTACATTTTACCTTGGACCATCTATCTCTCTCCCTCACAGTTCCACCTAAAACCAAAAATCGAGAAGATTTGTCAACTTCGTGATCTAAAGCTGAGTGGACACCATTTTGGAGCACTAAAATGTAGTTATTTAGTTTATAGTATGTATAATATTTTGTTTTGTATGTGTCATGTAATCTTTTTTTCTTTTCTTCTTTCTAACTTTTCTTGTTTCTCTTTAACACAACAAAGTCCAAGAAATATTCAATATAAATTAGTCTAAGACAATACTCGAAAAAACAATTGATATCATACCTTGATTATATTGCTAGATAGACAGAAGATATTGCTACAAGTAGTTTTATTATAGATGTAAAAAACATTATACTATACATCATTTATCATCATTTGTACATAATTATAAAACAAAAGATCTTTAAAATATTTAAAACATCGGCGGTAGGGCCACGCACCAGCCTCGGCTGTTGCATGAAAGGGCAGGCTCGTCCGGGTAAGTACCACAACCTCACAGAAGACCGGCGTAAAGTGGAAGTGTAATAATACTTTCGCGTTTCGTCTGGTGAGTGGGGTGGCCGGAGCCCACTTTGCAAAAAGGTTGTCAACGCATCTGCAAACCCTCGGGTGTAGCAGATGTCCATGGGCGGCGGTATTCACTTAACATCAGGTGAACCGGCTGCCCGTTTAGCAAGTTTTCACACAAAAAAATATATTTTAAAAAAATTAGAAAGATCAAGAATAAAATGCTTTATTTTCTCTTCTTCAATATTTGTACATGTATATTGATTTAGCCATGGATGGGTATGTGTATTTTTCGTCATTTAATCACTATAATTAGCTTATAGGAAGCCGTCATGAGAGAAAATTTAAAAGACCTTAAACCTTATCAAAAAAAATTTAGCCCGAAATCTCTATAGATCAATGTATAGTAAAGCGTGAAAAATGTCACTAGACTTGTTAATATTCGTTCCCTTGAACCGCGCGTACAAACGCTTACGGCCAAGAACAAACAAGTTCACCTCGAAAGATATGAGATAAGAGCATTTGCTAAATCAACGCTCGGCTGTAATTATTTTAGCAAATTTTGTGTGTGCACGCTCGTTGTAACCAAACCAATGGAACGTCAAAACACAATGTACACTTGCATTTCGTCACTCGTGTGGTGTTCTGAGTGATGTGAGTGTCCATGGACGGTCTTCACTATCATGATAGTGGTAGTTTGCTCGGAAGCTTTCACTTGAAAATATTAAAACGATTACAGTCTATGGTCTATCTTTAAGTCAAAGGATTACGCTACACGCTATAAAAGTGTTCATGAACTTAATCCAACTCTTACCGCGGATTATTTTTATTTTAATATGCATCTTTCGAAAAATATTTTTCTCTTGCCATCCTAGGCTTGAGAAGGTTATTTTGTTTTACAAACAAAGCCAAATAGAATTAGTTTTAGGAATTAAGCTTAATATTTACTTACTATGGATTTATTAAGTGAAATTTGTTTTTGGATTTCATAGCGTAAAATGTATATTATTCGCTTAATATCAATAAATCAATTATGGCTTTGTTTAATTTTTTCGCATAAAGTTATGAATGTGTTATGATGATTATTTTTAAACTCATCCGTCGAAGGCTTTTTAGGCGACCCTGAAACAAATTTTAGGAAAATTAATTTTACTATTGAATATGGAAACAAAACAAAACAAAAAAACCTTATTTTGTTTTTTGTTCATTTACCTCAACTGGTACAACTAAAATAGACTTTTAAGTAAAAAAATACATAAAATTTGCTAAACGCTTCATAAAAAATTTTCAGACGGTATATATCGAACTATAAACTAAATATCGAATGTAAATATGAACTATTAAATGATGATCTAATTTAACATATAATTAGAAGTGATAATATTTAACATATTGATCATCGTATCTCTAAAAAAAAGCGAATATATTATTAATCTAAAAAAAATGTTTTTAACTTTAAAATACTAGATTAAATATCTAGGCCCTGTTATTTTGCAAAAGAAATCCGATTTTTTCCATCAAACGTGAGACTATTAAATTGTAAGTACTACAATTTATGGTCAGTTTTATAGATCAAATCAAAATTTAGATTTAGATCTGTAAAAAGTCGTCCTATCCTTAAAGTAGAAAAATATAAAAATCTTTCTTTAATAAACCTGAATGAATTATCAAAGTGGCCAGTATACAAACGACATCAAAACGAATATTTGATACTATATTTAACCCTTTTATTCGAAGAAAACAGTATGTCGCCAATGGAAGAATATATTTTATTAAAGCTTTGAATATAAAGTTTATTTCAATAAAAGCCCTAAAACTGAACTACATTACTAACAATTGAACGATACCGATAAGAATTTTTATAAAAGCATAAAACACCTACGTTTGAACCGAGTTTGCAAGAATCTAGTCTATGCACTTAGATCTCTGCCTCTTAATATCTAAAAAGAGGCGGATCCGTAGAAAACTCCACCTCCACGATACTGCGATAGCGATGGAAAGGCGTTTAAACTGTTATATTTTTATAGAAAAGTACAAATAACTATCTACGTCTCTAAGCTTTAATCAATAAGCAGTAGCTCCATCCTTGTCTTCAGCGACAGAACATAGACGGCAATAACTTCTTTATTCATTCTTCATATTTATCACGCACTCCACATTGAGATGCGAATAGCGTTATACGTTTGAAATAGGAACGGTCACATTGGCTAACGAAAGAGCACATCGCTTTAACAGTGACGTGAAACATCAAACAAACATGCGGCGTTGAAAAATCAGCGGGCGAGACCACGCGCCCGTACATGGCACCTAAGCGATGGAGATATCCAACGGATCTGAGCTGCCGGCAACACGTGCCGATACTGTCAAAGGCGTCCCACGCCACGCCACTTGGAGCTTGAAGTGGTCGGCTCGTCAGAGGTGCGCAATGCCGGATTACACCGCGCCGTACCCAGATGCACGATAGCCTCTGTTTCCCGCGGCCACCGGGGCACGCACGTGCTTTTGAGCCGGCCGCGCCGTCCCACGCCCCGCGCACAAATCGACAATCTAGTCCTTAGCAGACAAACCAGCCGCATCTGATTTGCATCTCAATGATGACTGGCGGCTGTGACCTAACCTTATAATGGCCGAAGTCTAATTTTTCCTTACTCAGTACAACAACTTTGCACATGTTTCCTTAGAAACATCTAAGTATATTTAAAACTGATATTTTCTTATTATTACTATGACATTTTAATATCTTTTTCTTATGAAGGAGTGAAAACGAGCAATCGTTTCGCCTGACATAAAATTATCGCTGCCGATGAACACTAGCAACATCGGGGGAATCACAATTGCCTTGCTGGCCTTGTTGTATCCCTAAGTCGTATCGGTCCGGAAATAATCACTTGGTTCCAAAAAGTAGCTGTTCGAAGAGTTGTACGGTGGTTAAATTCTGCAGCTGGTATCAATTCAACACTCCAAACAACTATTTAGAGCACTCACCGTTTTTTCCGATAGAAAACACAAAGCTGTAATATCTCTTTACAAGGCCAACGAGTTGAGGCAATAGGATGCAACCTGTTCGTCAACAATGCGAGCAGCTCTTCGTTGAATGCGGTTAAACAGAAGGAGCTGGTATTTTGGTGCCCCAGCCCAGAGGTTAGAACAGTATTCCATGTGCGGCCGAATCTGTGCTTTATGCAGCGATGGGCAATCAGGAAATACTGTCTCGAACTATTTAGAACACTGAGCTTTATAAAAGCCAGCTTGGCTTTTCTTTTCTAATGACCGTGAAATTGATCGCCGCTCAATATGTTAATGCCAAGAATTCCTATACAATTTGTTACAACCAAGGAAGTGTCGTCAAAAGAGGGAGATTTTTTAATGCGAAAAGTTGTCAACCGACCGAAGGTTCAACTGACGTTAAGTGAATACCGCCACCCATGGACATCTGCTCCACCCGAGGGTTCCAGATGCGTTGATAACCTTTTGAAAATTGGGCTCCGGCCACCTCACTCACCAGACGAAACGGGGAAGTATTATACTTCCACTTTACGCCGGTCTTCTGTGAGGTCGTGGTACGTACCCGGACGAGCCTGCCCATTCCCCTTCGAAGTAAACGTGAAAACCTATGTCTTCATGGGCTTGAATTGGACTAGATTTAGTCGACCCCAATCCGAGATTTTGAATAACAAACAACGTATTCCTGAAGAATATTTGTTCTGCAGGTATATAAGTCATTCGTCATCCGTTACCCGAAGTGTCATCTGTGAAGCAATAAATTTTGCAAAAATGCAACAAATTATTGAAATGCAGAAGGAAAATCGTAGGAACGCAGCTTTGTGCACGAACTTTCACGAATTTAGCGTCAGAAAAAGCACCATCAACAACGACCTTAATGTAAGAAAATTAGTGATCCAGTTGCATTGTTTCTCACGGAACCCGTAAGAAGTGAACATGGAAAGAAGTGCTCTGTACCAAACCCGATCGAAGGTTTCCATTACGTCAAAACTACCCGCCAAGGCCTCACCCTTAGTATCACCTGCCGCCGCCCATCGATGAGTTAGGTACACTAGAAGATCACCAGCTGAGCGACGCCGACGTAAACCATACTGACGACCGCTAATGAACTGGTGCCCCTACCTAAGGAGCTGTCAGTCAATAATGGACTCCATTATTTTCGAGAACAAAGAGGTAAAGGCAATACGAACAACCACATTTTTAAAGATCGGGTGCACTAAAGCCGTCCGCTAAGTAGAGGAATTGGGACAATACCTAAGCTATCCCAGGGAGGACCGGTAATGACGCGTAAAAACCGATGCTTACTCAGGAGCACACGTCCTTAACACAATAGGATTCCTTCAGGCTCCATCGACTTTTGGAGGTCTTAAGAGAAGTGCTTTACGCACTGTGCTCTGCAGAAACCTTGAACTAATTTCTATTATTGCGTGCTCACACGCGGGATGGTCGGCGGTACGTTCCCCTTATCATCTAGTGTCGAGTTAGACGCGAAGAGGATGCCCAAAAGTTCGGCTTTTTCTTCAGTGGTATGGGCCAACGAGTCATCTCAGATGTGTAGAGATGGAAAAAATGGTATACAAAGTTCCCTCGAACTGCCTTGGTAAGAAACCAGAATGCACGAGTTCCCGAAGGAAGGCAAACTAATCTCTCGGCAATTTTGCCAATGTGCTTCTAACCTTGCTGAAGCGATGGCTCTTTTGAATAGCCTAGAGGCAAATTTGTACTCCTTTTAATGTGACTGGTATTTACCACCCCAGACGCCACTGCATTTACATTTGATTACTCCATGCCGCAGTCGGCAAGTTATTGGCTTTGGCGTCGGAGGTCGTGGGTTCGATTCCAATGGAACAAAAATATTTGTGACCCACAGATACTTATTTCGCATCTGGGTGTTTTTCCACGTGAAATTTATGTTTGTAAAACATCCTTGCAACACAGGATAATCTTATCTTAAAGTAAGAGCAAATTCCCATAACACTTCTGCTTACGGCAAGATGCCGCTTATCTGCTTCCTTAAACTTCGTAAAATTAACACAAAGAACTAGAGAATAGAAGCAGCAATGACTTCATTGAAATCGCAACTTAATGCGACATGATTTCCTTTCGCATGTACGCCACGAACGTTCAAGTAGCCTCGCTGTAATCCCCATTGTAAGAGATTTCCCGCACGAATATCGCCGCACCTGCATCCAATGATGGAGAACAATTGCCGTCATTAAGGGCCATCACAGTCGGGCGCACGCTAAATATTCAAATAGTCGCAACGACAATGCGAGTTAATTCAAAAGTCAATAAATTATCGCTAATGCCCAATTTGCGTCGACCGGTTAACAATGCCCGTTCCCGCAATTACTTAAACGCATGTAACCAGAAAGATACAATCTACGTATGGCCGTCCGGCGTCATTGTCTCACTCGATATAAATACATGAACCGCAATTACAGTATCGATTGAGGCTGACTCAGAGCTCCCCGATACAACGATCGACAACGTAAAACATTGCCTTTAGTAAACGTAATTGCCGTTACGCTAAAACGACATCCTTGTATGGGAAAAAGGCTATGTACCATTCTTATTCCGTGCGAGACACTCATGTCGAATTCAGGTAACGTTTAATACAGCTTCTGGAAGTTACAAACGGCGCAATAAAGAATTCATGTCTGTTAGCGATCTCTCTCATCGTGCGAGCCGAAAGGCGTAGCGTACATTTGCTCTAAATAACGAACGTTTAGCATAGGTACAATAATATATAACCCAAACTTCACTGATAAAAAAGCAATAATAAAATAGAACACAAATCCGTTGAAAGAATGAAAGGAATCAAAATTGGACTATCATTCCCTACCATTACACAGCATAAGGTCTCTTCTTTTCGTTTTTATATTTGAATTGTATTTTAATTTTGGTACAGCGCCGTTAAGCTTCTACAGTCGCATTAATGTCTGCCACATCGAAAAAAAAAACACACACAAACTAAAAACTGTTGAAAAAAACTGTTGAAGGAGGTTACTTTCATAAATTTTAGCAAAGCAGCAGCAACTGCAAGGGCACTGTGGATGCTCATACAAGGCGGTAATCACTTGCCAGGAGAAACGCACGTTCTCTGTCTCTTTTTCTCTAATATAACCTCAAATAATTTTTCAATTCGAATGTAACGAACGAGATTCAATTTCATCCAACTTACTGAAGTCTGAACCTTCGAACTGAAACTCAACAAGGTCTAATAGTAATAATGTGCGATAGATGTAATTTTGTATAAAATCGGAGTGAACTGATAGGAATTAACTAATAGTAGTATTGGCTATTGATAATAAAACTTCTTTAAACGTGGTGGGGCTATGCAACAGTCTTCACTGTTGAACGAATCGGCAGGTCTACGTCCAGATAAGTACCACGACCTCACAGCGTGAAATTGAAATGACTTCCGCGTTTCGTCTGGTGAGTGAGGTGGGCGAGGCCCAATATCTTATAACGAGGCAATGCAACCCTTCTGGTGTTGGAAATGTCAATGCAGCAGTTATAACTTAACTGCCAGCTCGCTTGCAACCTCACAGAAACAGTAACAAAATAACTAACATAATTTTCGTGTTTCGATTTAAAACGACCACAGGACGGCTCCCTTATATGGCTTATAGGAATAAAATCCCCATAACAGTTTTAGTTAAAATGAATAGTAATTGCCTGCATACAAAAAAAATAGTTTTGTCAATAAATTGTTGTTAATTATTAAATTAAATAAACCAGAATGCCTCATAAACGTCCCTTACTCGCCTGATATAAATAGAATGGATTAGCAAAAATACTGTTCAAGTAAGTCCGTGTGATACGGGTGTATCTGATGACAATCACAATCAGCATTCCAACGAGTGCGAGTGCTACCGTCTTTGGCTACGTGACGAGTTCAACGGCGGTTAAATTCCGTTATGAACTGGGAAACACACTCGTGTAGTTATGGACAACACTACCGCTTAGAATTGACCCTCCTGGCATCTAGGTCTAACTCAAGTTCCGGTCTGAGCAGGATCTGAACTTAGGTTCGCTCACGTATACATTTCTTTATATCAAAAGTCAGCTAGCGAGTTGGTGGTTAACTTGTAGTTAAGTGGTTTCACCCGCCCATGGCCATTTGAGGTTGGCAGTAGTATAGATTTTTGACAATCAATAAGTAAGTGTAATGCTTCTATATTGAATAAAGATATTTGACTTTGGCACCCGCTTTTACTCGCTCGTGCCGGCACCAATGTAATTGTTACTTAAAATTTTAACTGCTGACTTATCACGTTCTTCGCGGTGGAGGAAAACATCGTGAGGAAACCTGCATATTTCCGAAAGAACAATTAGAATAAAATTAAAATAAAATATTTCGAATATATATAAACTCCGTCAATCCGCAGTGGTGTCGCGTAAAGTACTATGCCCTAAAGCCCTAATACCCTCCGTACAGACGAGGGTCTTACTCAACTGCGGGGCTGGCATATGGACTGTTACTGTACATATTTACTTTTACGAACAACTATAAAACCCGAGGCATTATAGAATCGTTGCTATGCATTAAAAAAGTGGGCCCCGAATAC